GCCTCTCAAAGTGCTGGGATTACAGTCATGAGCCACCGTACCTGGCCGGTCTTTTTTGTTTGTTTGTTTAACTGTAAAGAGATTATCAAAAGAATGCCTAGGTCTTTCAGAATTGGCAATGGCCAGAGAAAGGGTACTGGCTATTTTTCTCCTACGGTCCCCTTCCCTATGAGAACTCACTAATTTTGCAGTTAACTTCCGTACCCGTTTTAATATCGAGATTAACAAGAGAGAGAAGCTGAGTCTGGCTTATAAGATAAGACTTTCGGGAGTCTGTGGGCCCTGCTCTGTCCCAGCTCTGCCTCTGCTTCTATTGGTGGACTTCAGCTGGCTGCACCCTCTGGGAACAGTTTCACCTGAAACCCCCAGGCCCCTAGTGCCAGACCCAGAGTGGGAGAAGCACCTTTTTACCCTGAGTTTTCTCTAACCTGCCTTTTCCATGAGTGATTGATACCTGGAATTTCCACATCCTTTTAAGACAGACTGTTAAAATCTGTAGGTTAAATAACTGGACACAGTGACACACACCTATAGTCACAGCTACTTGGGAGTCTGAGGTGGGAGGATCAGTTGAGCCAGAAGTTCGAGGCTGCAGCCTGCTGTGATCACACCTGAGAATAGCACTGCACTCCAGCATGGGCAATATAGTGAGACCCTGTATTTAAACTAAACAACCAAAACAACTTCTGGGCTAAACATATCTGCATCTGTCACAGTAACACCAACACAGAAGATAAACACAGACCACTGTGGTAGCGTGGTTCATCTCAGTACATGCTGCTACATGATTAAAAGTGATTAGCGTGGTTTTCTGTTTTGCGTAGACTTACAGCCTGTACATTCTTTCTACAAAGATTTTTCCCATGGGATTCCCCCCCCATTTACCCAAGAATTCATTCATAATAAACAGTTGTTGAATCCAGATAAAATACATATCTGTCTCTTCCCATTTGCCTATGAATTTCTTGCCAAGATGTGATACAGTAGCTCAAAGAATGCTTGCCATGTCACTAATAGTCTTCGCTCTGTCTAGTTCAGTGACTTTCCCACACTGTAACGTTCAGGGCACTGTGTGAGTTTGTAAATGTGACCATACTGCAAGCTTTTTATGGTGAACTGGTCCAGTACTGCCTTTGTTAAAGCATCTGTCGTCAGTAAGAGATGATAAACTTTTTGCACAACAGTGAAAACCCTACCTTTAAGCATATGATTATGCTTAATAAATATTTTATTAAAAGAATTAAAGACCTAAAGGGGAAGAAGTTAGACTGTTCTAGTTCTGGTACTGTTGAGGCACTGATGAGGATAAATGATCATGCAGAGGTCTCTTCATAATTGACCCCAATGGAGTCATCAAGCACTTGAGCGTCAATGATCTCCCAGTGGGCCGAAGCGTGGAAGAGACCCTCCGCTTGGTGAAGGCGTTCCAGTATGTAGAAACCCATGGAGAAGTCTGCCCAGCGGACTGGACACCGGATTCTCCTACGGTAGGTTTTTTTCCCCCAAAAGCAGTGAGGTCCATGTTCTCTCAGCCTCGAGAGCTATTGACCTGAAGTATCCACAAAAGGGAGCCCACCCTTGGAGCAAGCGTGCAGATGATGTACAAATAGGTGAAGCTGCTGTAGGGTAGAGGGGGTGGGGTGGGGAGCCAGGAAACAATTATCAGAGACAAGCAGACCTTTTTTTCTTTTTTTTTTTTTTGAGACGGAGTCTTGCTCTGTCGCCCAGGCTGGAGTGCAGTGGCACGATCTCGGTTCACTGCAAGCTCCGCCTCCCGGGTACACGCCATTCTCCTGCCTCAGCCTCCTGAGTAGCTGGAACTACAGGCGCCCGCCACCACGCCCGGCTCATTTTTTGTATTTTACTAGAGACAGGGTTTCACTGTGTTAGCCAGGATGGTCTCGATCTCCTGACCTCGTGATCCACCTGCCTCAGCCTCCCAAAGTGCTGGGATTACAGGCGTGAGCCACTGCGCCTGGCCCAGAGATAGGCAGGCCTTAATGAAACTTTGATCTTTGTGTTTTAAAGGAAATCTTTAAAAGTTTAAAGAACTTTAGGTTAAAAATTGGGGGATTGCCACTCAGTTTGGGGCATATTTACCATATTATTATGGTAAAGTCATAATTACCTAATTAAGCTTTTGTATTTTCAGATCAAGCCAAATCCAGCTGCTTCCAAAGAGTACTTTCAGAAGGTAAATCAGTAGATCGCCCATGTGTATCTGCACCTTCTCACCCCAGAGAAGAACCACAGTTGAAACCTACTTTTATCATTTTAAAGATGGTTATTTGTAGAAGACAAGGAACCAATTATGCTTGTATTCATAAATATTACTCTAAATGTTTTGTTTTTGTAATTCTGGCTAAGACCTTTTAAACATGGTAGTTGCTAGCAAGGAGTCCTTTATTGGTAACGTCTTGGTGGCTAGCTAGCTAGTTTCTACAGAACATAATTTGCCTATATAGAAAGTGATTCTTAGATCACGTCTTCAGTGGAAACACTCTTCTGTCTTAGCCTTACTTGAATCTTGCCTATAACAAAGTAGAGCAACATGCATTGAAAGCGTCTGATCAAGGGTCCTGAAATTTTCAATTTGAATGTCTTTGTATTAAACTGAATTTTCTTTTAAGCTAACAAAGATCACTATTTTCAATTAGCCGTCTAACTCTGGCAATGAATGTTTATGTGATTGAAGCAAATGTGAATCATATTATTTTAAAAGGTGGCAGAGTGACTTAACTGATCATGCATGATCCCTCATCCCTGAAATTGATAGTTTATGTAGTCATTCTACTTATTTTATTCACTAGGTAACTTTGTCTATGTATATTTCTAGATATTGATTAGTGTAATTGATTATAAAGGATATTTATTGACTCCAGGGATTGCATTTTGAAATTACAATTATTTTCTTTGCTGAAGTATTCATTGTAAAACATAAAATAAACATATTTTAAAATATTTGCATTTTACCACCATTAACTGTTGGATCAGCTTATTCTGGGCTCTCCTTTCCTTCTCAGATTACATCAACAAACATTTATTGAGCATTTACCTCAGGGGCCACAAAGAGAATAAGATGCTGGTTCCACACTCAAGGAACTTGGTTTAGGGGCAAGACAGATAGGGAAACATGTACTCATTGTTTCAGGAAATCCTTGAGTGCCTACCCTGCACCAGCTGCTGTTTTCGAGGCACAGGAGGGAACAAAGGACAAACCCCTGCTTTTAAGCTTTTACATTCTACAGGGGAAACACAATACATGTAGTAAAAGTAGAGTGTTTGGAAGGAAAATAATGTGGAGTGAAGCTCTGCTGAAGTGGAATTGTAGGTGTTCTAGATGGGGTTGTTAAGGAAGGCCTTAAGGGAGAGCCTGTCTCTGGGTCAATTTTCTGATCCGTAAAATGAGGACAATAATTGTACCTATCTCGGGGTTTTGATGAGCCTCAAGGGAGAGAAAACGTGTAGGAAGTGAGAGTGTTACTGGGATAAGAGGCTTCTAGGTAGAGGGCATGGAAAACACAAAGGCCCTAAGGCAAGAGTGGACTCAGAGCTGGATTTACTAGGATGCCGGTGACTAGGGCGGTGGTGGGGGTCCCAGAGTGCCTTTTGGCCAAGCCAAGAACTTGAGGTTCTGTTCTGGGGTGGGGAATGTCAGGAAGGATTTGAAAAGAAGCGTGACATCAACTTGTAAGATAATCACTCTGGCTCCTTTGTTAAAGACTGGACATAGCGGTCCAAAGTGGGGAAGCAGGCCAGCGGGCTGGCTTTGTGACATCCTGGAGGGTAGAGACAACAGAATAGAACAGCACGCTACTACTGCACCTGTGCTTAGATGGATTTCTGCGGCATAAGGGTAGAAGTGGAGGCGACTCTGTGGAGGGGACACCTTACTCAACTGGGAGGGTCAGGGAAGGCTTCCTGGAAGAGGAGATAAACCCTTGGAGGTTAAGAAAAGTGAGCTAGGCAAACTGAGCAAATGTAGAAGCAGAGTCACACAGGCCTGAAGGACAACATGAGCCGATTTCCTGTTCCAGGAGGGGCAGGGCAAGGGAAGGAATTGGCCCGCTGGAGGTTAATGGCCAATACTGAGCACTTCTGAGAGCTCAGTGCTGTGTTAGGGATATTTTATTTCCTTTGATCCGAAACAAAACCCTGAGATAGGTACAATTGTTATCCGCATTTTGCGGATGAGAAAATAGACTTTGAGATACTGACTTGGCGAGGGTCACACACCTAGGTGGTGTGCTGGGTCCCCCAGTCCAGGACTCCGGAGGCCCCCTGAACGACCTAGGCACGCTTGTGGCTTCCATGAATTTAAGTGCACACACACAGACCCCATCCACTCCTGTGCTAAGGAAGGGCAGGTGGGAGGAGGAAGGGAAGGCGGGTTTGTTTTTTTTTTTACAAATAGTCCCTATTTGGTAGTCAACAAAAGGAACTGAATTTGCCCCAACACTGGGAAAAAAAAAAAAACCTGTCGGGCTGAGGGCCCCAGGGCCCTATATTTGGTTTGATGCTCTGGTGTTTGTTACTCTTCAAATTCTCAGTAACTTGAATAAGGGGCACCGCATTTGACATTTTCACTGGGCTGAGCCCATGATGCCGCCGGCCTGACTGCGCAACACCATGCACCCTGGAATTCGTGGGCAATCGGAGGGATTTTCGAGGGCAATGACCACGGGTAGGGCGCGGCAGGAGCGCAGGGTGAGGTTGCGGAGGGCCTCACTCACAACCTTTGGGGATCTTCGCATTAGATGCTGTGATATGGGGTTCCGATATTGATCCCTTGGGGCCTGGAGACGGCTCGGCTCCCCAGAGGTGCGGAGGAGTGCAAGCAGGGTTGGGAGGACATGGCCTGTGGGAGAGCTGGGCTCGCCGGAACAGTGGGCGCCCAAGGGACCCGAGGCGCTGTGACACGGGACGTCGGGCGCGCGGGCCTGGGGCGGGAACTGCGGGTGCGCGCGGCCCGGGGCGGGGCTCGCCGCCCGGCTCCTCCTCCGCGCGCGGCCCGGGGCGGGGCTCGCCGCCAGGCTCGTCCTCCGCGCGCGGCCTGGTGTCGGCGGCCACTCTAGCCAGCACAAGATGTCCCTAGAACAAGAGGAGGAAACGCAACACGGGCTGCTCCTAGGATGCAGCGACGCCGTCCCCGCCTTCATTGAGCCCAACGTGCGCTTCTGGATCACCGTGCGCCAAGTACGGCCCCGGGCCCCGCGCGGCTGGGGGCGGGGTGGGGGCGGGCCGGGCCGCGTGGTGTCGGGCTGGCCCAGGTGACCTTGGCCAGGCCACGTGGGCGCCCCCCGTCTCCGTTTCCTCGTTCCGGAGTTGTGCGGGGTACGCGCACCACCAGCCTTCACTCCTTAGGGCGCGGGAGGGGACGCAGGGGAAACCCAAGCTGCCCACGACCACAACGTCACCCTCCAGATCGCCCTCTCGGAGGGGCCCAGTTCGCTCAGGTGGCTGCTCCCTACTCCCTGAGCTGTGGCTGAGCAACAGATTGGGGAGAAACAGGCCGTCCCACCTTGGTAAGCCCAGCCACTCTCGGTGAGACCCCCGAGGCTTTGGGAAGCCACCCTTGGACAGGAAATAAGCAGGACTCACCTCCCTGCGGCGTCTAGGGCAGCACCGTCCAATAGAAATAAGATGTGAGCCTTACAGGCAATTAAACATTTTCCAGTAGCCACGTTAAACAAGATAAAAAGAAAAGGTGAAATTTTTAACAATACAGTACATTTAGCCCAGCAGGTGCAAAATACTAACATTTCAACATGTAATCAGTACAAAACATTCCTGAGATATCTTACTCGTTTTTTTGGTGCGAAGTCTTCCAATCCGGCGTTTGTTACACTCGCAGCACATCTGGGTTCAGCCGCATGTGGAGAATCAGAGAGCAGGGCTTTAGGGGGTTCTCTTTTAGGCCTCTCCTAAAGTGGGGTCCAGCCCTGTTTTTTTAGGTGGGGAAATTGAGAAGGGACAGTGAGCTCCGGTTGCTCCAGCAGAACCAGGGCTTAAAGCTAGAACCACTACAAAGTTTGGGGTTTGCTGGAGCAAACCTCCTTTCCCCAGTGTGACTCCAGCTGCACCATTGAGCCCTCACTGGAGTGAAGCCTTATAGCAAGCAGAGAGTGAGGCCACAGATTCTGAGATCTTCTAGGCCGTTGCTTCGAGGTCATATGTGAGATATGAACATAGGACCATTTGAACCCCAAAGTCTGGGATTTTCGCCCTCAAGGGCAATTGATACTGAGCGGTTAAGGGCAGAGACTTCTGAATCATTTACTGGCTGTGTTGCCTTGAGTACATTCATGAGTCCCTCTAAGCCTCAGCTTCCTCACCTGGAGAATGGAGAGGTTGGGAGGATCCCAGGAGTTGATGCCAGTAAAAGGCAGATCACAGACCCTGGCAGGTTCTCAAAAAAAAAAAAAAAAAAAAAAAGCCAACTGTTACTACTATGTCTTTATTTTTCTGCTGCTATTAACCTCTCTGTTGCTTTTCTCCCTCATAAGTCCTTTATTCGACGATTTCTTCAATGGACAGAATTATTAGATCCTACAAATGTGTTCATTTCAGTTGTAAGTATTGTCTTCAGAGCTAATGAATTTCACATTTTATTTTGAAACTTAAAGACCACGTGTCCCTTTTTTTTTTTTTTTTTCAGACGGAGTTTTGCTCTTGTTGCCCAGGCTGGAGTGCAATGGCACCATCTCAGCTCACAGGAACCTCTGCCTCCCACGTTCAAGCGATTCTCCTTCCTCAGCCTCCAGAGTAGCTGGGATTACAGGCATGCGCCACCATGCCCAGCTAATTTTGTATTTTTAGTAGAGACGGGGTTTCTCCGTGTTGGTCAGGCTGGTCTCAAACTCCCGACCTCAGGCCCAGCCCACATGTCCCTTTTAAAAGCAGTTGAAATAACAATCTGCATATATTATTGTGTGTATTCCTTCTGAATGAACTTGTCAGATTGGAAGGGGTAAAGAAAAGCGTACATCTGACCATGTGCCATGCCTCATGCCTTTAATTCCAGCACTTTGGGAGGCCGAGGCACGTGGATCACCTGAGGTCAGGAGTCTGAGACCAACCTGACCAACATGGTGAAACCCTCATCTCTACTAAAAATACAAACATTAGCTGGGTGTGGTGGCAGGTGCCTGTAATCCCAGCTATTTGGAAGGCTGAGGCAGGAGAATCACTTGAACCCAGGAGGCGGAGGTTACAGTGAGCGGAGATCGCGCCACTGCACTCTAACCTGGGTGACAAGAGCAAAACTCCATCCAGAAAAAGAAGAAAAAGAAAAGCGTACATTTGTTTAACAGGTAATATCAGGCCCAGGCCGGCTGCTGGTGATTCAGAGAGAAACAAATCTTCCACATGATGGAGGACAGACTGGCTAAACTAGTCACATCCTGGGCGACAACAGTGAAATTCCGTCTTTAAAAAAAAAAAAAAGAAAGAAAGAAAATGTAATAAAATTAGAAGCAAATATAACCAGATGTTTACAGTTGTTAATTCTGGGTGAGGGGATTATAGTGTGTAGCCATTCTTTGTAATTTTTGTATTTAATTATTTTTTCTCAAATTAAGAAATGGAGGCTGGCTTGTGTCTATAATCCCAGCACTTTGGGAATCTGAGATGGTAGGATCTCTCGAGAATAAGAATTTGAAACCAGCCTGGGCAATATAGCGAGACCCTATCCGTACAAATAAAAATATAAAGTTAGCCAGGTGTAGTGGGTTGTGCCTGTAGTCACAATTAATTGGGAGGCTGAGGCAAGAGGATCACTTAAGCCCAGGAGTTGAGGCTGCAGTGAGCTGTGATCACACCACTGCACTCCAGCCTGGGCAATAGAGTGAGACTCTGTCTCTTAAAAAAATAAGAAAATAAAGAAAAAGAGGTAAGACTGAACTGATTAGACGTGGAAGTGGGTGAGGGAGAAAGACTTCCGGGTTTCTGACATGCATAGCTAGGGGATGGTGGTAACCATTCAGTGGGACAGTTGACATCAGAGAGTGGGGGAGGTGACAGCATGATTGCGGGCAGCTGCTGGAGCATCTAGGAAGAGGAAGGCGTAAATCTGAATGGCACTCAGGGCTATCCTAATGGCTAGAGAGCCTAGGGCACCTTGTGGCTTGAAATCAGGCATGCAGTTGAAGTCCAATGCATGCTAGTGAGTGAGCTGGTGATTCCTACATCTGGGGATAAACCTGAACAATTTGAGATCATTACTTGATTTCTTGATGTCTAATTTTAGGAAAGTATAGAAAACTCGAGGCAACTATTGTGCACAAATGAAGATGCTTCCAACCCCGCCTCGGGGGACCAAAGGGTATGTTTCATGTGCCCAGGTCTGGCTGGTTGAAGGCTGGGTGTAGTTGCCCTCAGATGGTTCTGCCTGCATGGCCAGGTGGAATTTGGCCATTAATCTCTCTCTCCATCTCTTTTCTTTCTTTTTTCCTTCCCTTGGGAGCCACTGTTCTATTGGCTATTAATGCTGTCATTGTTATATACTGCCCAGAGGACCAGCTTTGCAAAACTGGGTTAGTTTTTAAAATGTAGTTAGAATTCTGTCCCATAAACCAGACAGCAAGATTCCTCCTATGCAGTGGACATTTGTGGGGATTCCCTGCAGCTGATTCCTGGAGGCCCATGGCAAACTCCAGAATTCAGACAGGCCTCTGACGTCAGAATTCATTCTGCACTGCAGGCGGTGTTCCTGCTGATAGGCTCAAACGAGCCTGTCGAGGTTCCTTATCTACCTCGCAGTGTGTGGGGCTTTCTGGAGCTCACAGACACCAGTTCCTCAAGGCAGCCTCTGGAGAGCTCACATATTTAACTTACTTTTTCTAAGAATGTGTTGGGGACCCTGGGCTGACAGCTTGGCTCTGTTGCAAGTAACTTGGCTTATGGCACGGTGTGTCGTCAGCACACGGCCTGCTCTGCTCTGAGCCAGAGGCAAGCCGGATTCGGGGACTCATCTGAGGCATAAGTTAGGTGTTGGTCTTCTCCAAGGGTAGAGACAGGACTTTTTAATGTTCTGGTCAGTTTCTCTGTGTGGCTCATCTCTGCTTGCCATTAGTTCATTTGTTTATTCATACGATCCATTGATTTTGATTTGTTCTGTCGATGTGGTGGAAAACAGCTCTGGCCTTCACTGTCTGAAAGGTAGAGCAAAGGTGGTCCCAGAAATGAGACTGGCAAAGAGATTCTTTGGTGCTGAGCCACCTTTAAAAGCCTTTTTTTTTTTTTTTTTTTTTAAAGGCTGGTTGTGATGGCTTACCCCTGTAATTCCAATGGTTTGGGAGGATGACTTGATGCCAAGAGTGCGAGACCAGCCTGGGCAGTATAGCGAGACCCCATCTCTAGCTGGGAATGGTGGCGTGAGCCTGCAGTTTCAGCTACTCAGGAGGGTGAGGTGGGAGGATCGCTTGAACCCAGTAGTTCGAGGCTGCTCTGCAGTGAGTGAGGATTGTGTCACTGCACTCCAGGCTGGGTGACAGAGCAAGACCTTGTCTCTTAAAAAATATTTAAAATGAAACAAAGCTATTCTTTTTTCTCCTTTAAGATACAAGAAGCTTGGAAGCGAAGTCTTGTAAGTTTCAGTCCCTTCCTAATTTTTAGTGTCCTAAAATAACAAAACCAGACATCTTTGCATCTCCCTTCTTGCATCTAACCTTGCATCTCTCCTCTTGAAGGCCACAGTGCATCCTGACAGCAGCAACCTGATCCCCAAGCTTTTTCGACCTGCGGGTGAGTCGACTCTAATTTTCAGAAGTGGGTTGGGATGATGTAGTTTTTAACACTTAGAAAACTCTGCCTGCCGGATCACCTGGGGTCAGGAGTTCGAGACCAGCCTGGCCAACATGGTGAAATCCCATCTCTACTAAAAATGTAAATATTTAGCCGGGCATTGTGGTGGCACATGCCTATAGTCCCAGCTACTCAGGAGGCTGAGGCAGAAGAATTGCTTGAACCTGGGAGCCGGAGGTTGCAGTGAGCTAAGATCGAGCCATTGCACTCCAGCCTGGGCAACAGAGTGAAAGTCTGTCTCAAAAAAAGAAAAAGAAAACTCTGCCTGCTTTGCTTCAATTATTTTTCCCCCAGCAGGATTTCTTTTTTTTGAAACAGAGTCTCACTCTGTCACCTAGGCTGGAGTGCAGTGGCACAGTCTCGGCTCACTACAACCTCAGCCTCCCGAGTAGCTAGGATTACAGGCGCCCGCCACCATCCCCGGCTTGTATTTGTATTTTTAGTAGAGACAGGGTTTCACTACGTTGGTCAGGCTGGTCTCAAACTCTTGACCTTGTGATCCGCCCATCTTGGCCTCCCAAAGTGCTGGAATTACAGGCATGAGCCACCGTGCCCGGCCATGTTATAGTAATTTTATGTACATCATTATTATTATTATCATTTTTAGAGACAGGGTCTCATTCTATTACCCAGACTGGAGTACAGTAGCACCATAATAGCTCAAAGCAGCCTCCAACTCCCAGGCTCAGTGGATCCTCCTCTCCTCAGCCTCCTGAGTCGCTGGGACCACAGGGTCATCCTGCCATAACCTTCTTTAAATGTTTTGTGGAGATGGGGGTCTCACTACCTCTACAAAATGGAGGCTGGTCTCAAACTCCTGGCCTCAACCCATCCTCCAGCCTCAGCCTACCAAAGTGCTGAGACCTTGACCCACCATTTTATTAGAAAAGAAAAGAATGAGTGGAAAAAGTCCTTTGAGGTCTGTGCCTTCTGGAAGCTGGGGAAGAGGTGCTCAGGTGGCTGGTCCCCTTCTGGCCCCCTCTGCCTGGGCAACTGCGGTCACTGACACCTCCTCTCTTCTCCTGCCAGCGTTCCTGCCTTTCATGGCGCCCACGGTGAGCAAGCAGACATTCGCCGTTAGGAGACTAGGAGCTTGGGAAGATGGCCACTCTCCTCCTAACCTCAGCTGTGTCCCTCCAGCTCCAGACCCCTGTCCCATGACTGCCTGATAGATGGTTGTGGACCCCTACTGATAACCCATGACTGCCATTCATATGTCCTTGTCTCCACTCCTTCCCCCTCCCCACACCCTCCCAGTCAGGCATCCGGGCCTCTGGAAGGCCACAGCTTGGCAAGGTCATCCCTTTCCTGAGCACCAAGTATGCGCAGAGCACTGGAGAAGCAGCCAGTGAGTTAGGATGCGCTCCCTGCACAAACCCCTCACCACCAAGTCCTCGTCTGACACAGCCCCTCACCTGGGACCTGGCATTGTCCCCGTGGGACCTGGTATTGTCCCCGTGGGGCTTTCCCACCTTAGTCCTCGGAAGGTGCTTTTTGTTTTGTTTTTTTGTTTGTTTGTTTTTTGAGACAGAGTCTCGCTCTGTCGCCTAGGCTAGAGTGCAGTGGCACAATCTCAGCTTGCTGCAGCCTCTGCCTCCTGTGTTCAAGCAATTCTCCTGTCTCAGCCTCCTGAGTGGCTGGGATTACAGGCGCCTGCCACCACGCCCAGCTAGTGTTTTTATTTTTAGTAGAGACGGGGTTTCGCCATGTTGGCCAGGCTGGTCTTGAACTCCTGACCTCAGGTGATCCACCCACCTTGGCCCCCAAAGTGCTGGGATTACAGGCATGAGCCATCATGCCTGGACCATTTTTTGTTTTGTAAAATACGGTCTTGCTCTGTTGCCTAGGCTGGAGTGCAGTGACGCAATCATAGCTCACTGTAACTTCAAATTCCTAGGCTCAATCGATCCCCCTACTTCAGCCTTCTGAGTAGGTGGGACTACAGGTACTCGCCACCATGGGGCTAATTTTTAAATTTTTACCAGAGACAGAGTCTTGCTACAATGCTCAGGCTGGTCTTGAACTCCTGGGCTCAAGGGATCCTCCCAGTTTGGCTTACCAGAGTGCTGGGATTATAGGCGTGAGCCACCACTCCCAGCCCAGGAGGTACTTGTCCACATCACAGGCTGGCTCCTGTCTGCTTCCCCTAGCAAATATGTACTACTTCTTCTTTTTTTTCTTTTTTTTTTGAGACGGAGTCTTGCTCTGTCTCCCAGGCTGGAGTGCAGTGACACGATCTTGGCTCATTGCAACCTCCACCTTCCAGATTTAAGTGATTGTCCTGCCTTGGCCTCCTGAGTAGCTGGGATTACAGGTGCACACTACCACACTTGGCTAATTTCTGTGTTTTTTGTAGAGACAGGATTTCACCATGTTGGCCAAGCTGGTCAAGAACTCCTGGCCTCAGGTGATTCTCCCACCTCAGCCTCCGAAAGTGCTGGAATTACAAGAGTGAGCCACCACGCCCAGCTAACAAATGTGTACATCTTAGCCACCCTGCTGGACTAAGGCCCTTGAGACGGCCTGCTGTGTGCTCCTGGATGTCCTTAGAGCTGCTAGTTTGGTGCTTGGCAGGTGCTGTCACTCAACCTTGTCTACCAACTGGCAGCTTCTGTACCCACCACCAGCCTCTCCTGCCCCAGCTCCCTGGGGCTCAATTCTCCGTCTCCCCTGGGAAGTTCTTTGCTACTGCAAGTTCTCCCTCCACAGAAACACTTGTAACTGTGTTCCACTTTCTTCTTAAAAGGTATTTTTGTCAATGTTGCCACCAAAAGGGATCAAGTCCGTGATTTTACCTCAGGTAGCCATTCTTCCTGTTTCACGATTACTAAATTCTGTGATGCTTGAAACCAAACTGTGATCCATTTGCCCATCTCTCGGTAGGTTTTCCTCTATACCTACATGACAGTGTTCAACAGCATCAATGGAAACAGAAGTTATGTGAGTATTATGAGACGCAGAGGGTGTGGGGTTTTCTGTTATTTATTTTGGAATTTGTTGTATGTATTTGTTTTAAAATTATCCTTGCTGGATAAAACTGTGATATTTGCTAAATAAGTACTTTTGATTCTCCTTAGACTTGTAAACCACTAGAAAGATCATTACTAATGGCGGGAACTGTTGCTTCTTCAACCTTCTTAGGAGTAAGTATTTTTAGAATCTGTCAAATCTTCTTTATTCCTCAGAATCCAGGAAGCTTTATTTATTCTAGTTACAAATTTATGTTCCAATTTAAACAATTTAGAAAGTATGAATAGGAAATAAAAGTCACCTGTAATCCTATTATCCCAAAATAATCATGTTAATAGTCTTAAGTTTCTAGGCATATACATGGTACTGGTATCTTTTTATTTTTTTCTATTTTCTATTTTCTTTTTTTTTTTTGAGACAGAGTCTCGCTCTGTTGCCCAGGCTGGAGTGCAATTGCATGATCTCAACTCACTGCAACCTCTGCTTCCTGGGTTCAAGTGATTCTCCCACCTCAGCCTTCCGAGTAGCTGGGATTACAGGCACGCGCCACCACACCCAGCTAATTTTTTGTATTTTTTTTTTTTTTTTTTTTTTTTTTTGAGACGGAGTCTTGCTCTGTCGCCCAGGCTGGAGTGCAGTGGCCGGATCTCAGCTCACTGCAAGCTCCGCCTCCCAGGTTCACGCCATTCTCCTGCCTCAGCCTCCCGAGTAGCTGGGACTACAGGCGCCCGCCGCCTCGCCCGGCTAGTTTTTCGTATTTTTTAGTAGAGACGGGGTTTCACCGTGTTAGCCAGGATGGTCTTGATCTCCTGACCTCGCGATCCGCCCATCTCGGCCTCCCAAAGTGCTGGGATTACAGGCTTGAGCCACCGCGCCCGGCCAATTTTTTGTATTTTTTAGTAGAGAAGGGATTTCACCATGTTGGCCAGGTTGGTCTCAAACTCCTGACCTCAGGTGACCTGCCCACCTCGACCTCCCAAAGTGCTGGGATTACAGGCATAAGCCACCACGCCTGGCCACTACTGTTATCTTTTTAAAAATTGTTATATAAATTGTGTGTTATAAATATGTTATATAAACTGTGTTATATAATTTGTGTATTGCTTTGGATGTCAGGACACTGTACTGGTGAAAGATGGAGATGTTAGCATCAGACAAGCCTGGGCCTTCATCCTGGCTCAAACCTTTAATGGCTCTGTGACTCTCAAGAACTTTCTTTTTTTTTTTTGAGATGGAGTCTTGCTTGTCACCCAGGCTGGAGTGCAATGGCGCAATCTTGGCTCACTGCAAGCTTCGCCCCCCAGGTTCACGCCATTCTCCTGCCTTAGCCTCCCAAGTAGCTGGAACTACAGGCGCCCGCCACCACGCCCAGCTAATATTTTGTATTTTTAGTAGAGACGGGGTTTCACCGTGTTAGCCAGGATGGTCTCGATCTCCTGACCTCGTGATCCGCCTGCCTCGGCCTCCCAAAGTGCTGGGATTACAGGCGTGAGCCACCGCGCCCGGCCAACTTTCGACAACTTTCATACCTCTCTCTAAGCCCCTGTTGACTCCTTAGATGAACAGGGAGAGGACCTCCATGTTGCAGGAATTTGAAAAATACATGAAGGGCACTGGCAGCGGTCTGACCTGTAACAGAAACTAGGTCAGGGCGGCCTCTCTGCTAGTGAGTAGGTTCTGCTGATTTTTCAGTCCCATGAAATAATGATTTTTCTCTCTTCTAGGTAGTACCTCACTTTATCCAGATGAAGTATGGCCTGGCTAACCCTTGGATTAAAAGACTCTTACCTGTGGTCTTCCTCGGTGAGCAGGAAGGGCTGGAGCCTGCAGTCTGGGCGGGGGCTGTCTTTGTGGTCTGTGAGCCTTCCTTCGTCTCCAGAGGCACCTGGCTGCCTTGGTACATTGTGACTGATGACAGGTGGCCTTTGCGGCCCTGCAGGCCCCCAAGCGCAAATTAGGTCTTTGCTCTGAGAGGTGACACTTTCTGTAAATACCCACATTAATGGCCAAAGAATGAACACAAGACTGGAAACACAAATTACACTTTTTTCTTGAGACGGAGTCTCGCTCCGTCACCCAGGCTGGAGTGCAGTGGCGTGACCTCGGCTCACTACAACCTCCGCCTCCTGGGTTTAGACAGTTCTCCTGCCTCAGTCTCCTGAGGAGCTGGGATTACCGGCGTGCGCCACCATGCCCAGCTAGTTGGTTTTTTGTATTTTTAGTAGACAGGCCTTCACCATATTGGCCAAGCTAGTCTTGAACTTCCAGCCTCAAGTGATTCGCCTGCCTCAGCTTCCCAAAATGCTGGGGTTACAGGCATGAGCCACCACGCCCTGCCCTACATTTTAAAGATTATCTATATAAACGTTCTACATACATTATTTTACTTAATCCCGACAACTTATGGATAGGAAATATTATTATTCCTCTTTACAGATGAGGAGACTGAGGCACAGGGAGGTGAAGTAACTTGCCTAGAGTTACACAGCAAGCAAATGGTTAGTATAGGGATTCCAACCCAGTGGGGTGACAGAGATATTAGCTGAATATTTTGACTCTGCCAGCCTGCAAGTTTACTATGTCATGCTCCAAATTTGAGTTTGGGAATCATAGCAGTTTGAAGAGTTGGCAGACTGATGTCAGTGGTGAAATTGAGGAAATGGTGTTATAGAACCCTTACAGCTTTGGCTGGGCATGGTGGCTCACACCTGTAATCCCAACACTTTGGGAGGCCATTGTGGGCGGATCACTTGAGGTCAGGAGTTCGAGACCAGCCTGACCAACATGATGAAACCCCATCTCTACTAAAAATACAAAACTTAGCCGGGCCTGGTGGTGGGTTCCTTTAATCCCAGCTACTCTGGAGGCTGAGGCAGAAGAATTGCTTGAACCCAGGAGGCGGAGGTTGCAGTGAGCTGAGATCGCACCATTGTACTCCAGCCTGGGCAACAAGAATGAAACTCTGTCTCAAAAAAAGAAAGGAAACCTTACAACTTAAGCAAAGGTGAGGGATATGTTTCCAGGATCCCAGGGTTTCTCCTGGAATCCGGTAAGGAAGCAGGGGTGCTGGAAGCTGGTCCCAGGCTGTGGTCAGGATCCAAGACTGAGTGGTCAGCAGCTCTGAGCCTACTTCCACAGCCCCAGGAGAGCACCTGGTTGGCCCAGCCTGTGGCAGGTGTCCACCTGAGGGTCGAGAAAGGCCAGCTGTCAGAGAAAGAGGCTTGCAGCGGGCAGATACCCAAAGAGATGTTCCTCTGCTGGAACAAGACTCACCCCCGTGTTGGGTGTTCTTTACTTCTTTACATCTACAGTGCAAGCCAGTGGAATGAATGTCTACATGTCCCGAAATATTGAATCCATTAAGGGGATTGCGGTCATGGACAAGGAAGGCAACATCCTGGGCCATTCCATAATTGCTGGGACAAAGGTAAGAGACACGATGGAGCTATAGCTGCTTGCCTTTTGGGCAAAGACTTGACTTTTCTGTTTGGAAGCCAGTGACAAATTCATGTCTGCCTTCAACCTTTCTTTACCCATCTTTCCTTAGCGTGCTGAGAGATAACTATTTTTCATTTTGCCCCCTGATGTGTAAAAGATGGGGCATTAGTCTGGGTTCTCTGGAGAAACAGAACCAATGGGATATATGTACATAATCTTTCTTTCTGAGACAGGGTCTTGCTCTGTCGCACCGGCCTGGAGTGCAGTGCTGCAGTCTTGGCTCACTGCAACCTCTGCTTCCCTAACACAAGTGATCCTCCCACCTCAGCCTTTCAAGTAGCTGGGACCACAGGCACACACCACCACATCTGGCTTATTTTTGTATTTTTAGTAGAGACAGAGTTTCACCGTGTTGGCCAGGCTGGTCTCGAACTTCTGGCCTCGAGTGATCCACCCACCTTGGCCTCCCAAAGTGCTAGGATTACAGGCGTGAGCCACCATGGCTGGCCCCCAATTCCTTTTTGAAATCTCTCAAAAGAAAAGCATGTACCTCTGTCTCCATTGTCCTTCCCATTCACTCCTGAGTTTAAGTGATCCTCCCACCTTGGCCTCACAAAGTGCTGGGATTACAGGTGTGCGCCTCCACACCTGGGCAGTGCATGTCTATTAAGAGATTTGTTCTAAGGAATTGGCTTGCACAATTGTGGGAATCTGCAGAGCAGGCCTGGAGGCTGGAAACTTGGACAGGAGCTGCTGCTACAGTCTTGAGGCAGAATTTCTTCTTTGAGAAACCTCAGTTTTTGCCTGTAAGGCCTCCAACTGATTGGATGAGGCCCACCCACATTGTGGAAGGTAACCTTCTTTTTTTTTTTTTTTTTGAGACAGAGTCTTGCTCCGTCACCCAGGCTGGAGTGCAATGGCGTGATCTCGGCTCACTCCAACCTCTGCTTCCCAGGTTCAAGCGATTCTCCTCCCTCAGTCTCCTGAGTAGCTGGGATTACCAGCTACCACCATGGGATTACGTGCATACCACCACACCCAGCCCATTTTTGTATTTTTAGTAGAGGTGGGGTTTCACCATGTTGGCCAGGCTGGTCTCGAACCCCTGACCTCAAGTGGTCTGCCCGCCTTGGCCTCCCAAAGTACTAGTTACAGGTGTGAGCCATCGTGCTTGGTGGTAACCTGCTTTTCTTAAAGTCAGCTGATTGCAGATGTGCTCCATGTCTACAGAATACCCCTACAGCAACAACTAGATGAGTGCTGGATTAAATAACTGGGTACTGTTGCTATGATGACCCATGAGGCTGACTGCCACAGACAGGCATCTGACAAGTGCTAGGCACCTCTGAGAGTGAGATCTGCCCTCCCAGTGTGTGCTGATTGGGGGCCATCCCCTCCCAGCCTGCTCTGCACTTACAGAGGTCAGTGGACACCCCTCTCTGGGGTTAAGAGAAGCCCTGCTTCTCCCACTTCAGCAGATGTCCTTATAGTCTGCATTGCTAAGGACTACTTTCATCAAGAATGGATTTAGAAAATTGAATTTTCTGATCCAAAACTCCTTTTCAAGGCCTCAATTTTGAATGCTTTTTACTATTAGTTTCTTCTTCTTCTTTTTTGAGACAGGGTCTCCTTCTGTTGCACAGGCTGAAATGCAATGGTGTGATCACGGCTCTCTACAGCCTCAACCTCCCAGGCTCAGGTGATTCTCTCACCTCAGCCTTCCAAGTAGCTGGGATTCTAAATACGCACCACCATGCGTGGCTCATGTTTGTGCTTTTTGTAGACGTGGGGTTTCACCATGTTGCCCAGTTGTGTCTCAAACTCCTGGGCTCAAGTGATCTGCCCACCTTGGCCTTCCAAAGTGCTGGGATTGCAAGGGTGAGCCACTGGGCCTGGCCAAAGTATTCTTTCGTTCAGTTCAGCACAGTGACTACTGAGTGCATTCGGCTGTGAGAACCTAGTATAGTCTATGGTGTTTTCATTTTGGGTGTAGACTTCTAAAATAATGTTTTTAGCAGGTGAGATCTTTTGTGGTCCCTGTGAAATGACTTTAGCTGAAGGCTGTAGTTGTTTGCAAATGACATATCAAGCAGAGTGGAACAGCCCTGATACGAAGTGAAGAGACTAACCGGGCTTCTGGCAGTGGGGGATCCCGGGGACTCCCTTAGCCAGCCAGGGTACGTCCCTCTACTGGCCAGCGTGTTGGTGGCAGAGGAGGTCAGAAGAGATGGCTGTTCATTCCATCGGTAAATATGTCATTATTCAGCTCACCAAACGTATTACGATTTAAAGTAATCCTATCACTGACTGACGAAGCTGAATTATAAACCATCAGATACATGCTAATGGTATTTCCACCAGACCATCTAGTAGCATAGCTCCTTACCTAAACGAATTGTGACAGAGATAAAATAGTTGTAAGTAACAGAGAAATTGCTGCCAGAAAGAAAATAGGTCACAAGTTTGAAATGAAGGTTCTGGACCTAATAAACTAACCGTAAGTTGGATCACTCGCAGTTAGTCAGGAGTTTGAGACCATGCTGGCCAACACGGTGAAACCCCATGTCTACTAAAAATGAAAACATTAGCCAGATGTGATGGCGGGTGCCTATAATCCCAGCTACTCGGGAGGCTGAGGCAGGAGAATCACTTGAACCTGAGAGGGGGAAGTTGCAGTGAGCCGAGATCGTGCCATTGCTCTCCAGCCTGGACAACAGAGCAAGACCCCATCTCAAAAACAACAAACAAACAAAAACAAACCACCCAGGACTGCATTTGTGCTTTCCCCTGGGGAAAGAAACAACACCCGAAAGAGACATTTTTTCTTTTTTTTTTTTTTGAGATGGAGTCTCGCTCTGTCACCCAGGCTGGAGTGCAGTGGCCAGATCTCAGCTCACTGCAAGCTCCGCCTCCCGGGTTCATGCCATTCTCCTGCCTCAGCCTTGAGTAGCTGGGACTACAGGCGCCCGCCACCTCGCCCGGCTAGTTTTTTGTATTTTTAGTAGAGACGGGGTTTCACCGTGTTAGCCAGAATGGTCTCGATCTCCTGACCTCGTGATCCGCCTGTCTCGGCCTCCCAAAGTGCTGGGATTACAGGCTTGAGCCACCACACCCGGCTGAGACATTTTTTCAAACACCTTAATTGAGGTATAATTTACATACTGTAAAATTTGCCCATTGTAAGAGGAAAGTTTGATGAATTTTAGTGAATTTAAAACAATTGTGCAGCCAGGCACGGTGGCTTACTCATGCCTGTAATCCCAACACTTTGGGAGGCAGATCACTTGAGTCCATGAGTTCGAGACCAGCCTGGGCAACATAGCGAAACCCTGTCTCTACAAAAAAAAATTTTTTTTAATTAGCTAGGCGTGGCAGGGTGCATCTGTAGTCCCAGCTACTTAGGAGGCTGAGGTGAGAGGATCAACTGAGCCTAGGAGGTTGAGGCTGCAGCAAGCCATTGTTGCACCACTATATTCCAGCCTGGTTGACAGAAAGAGACCTTCGTCTCAAAAAATAAAAAATAGGCTGGGCGCGGTGCCTCACGCCTGTAATCCCAGCACTTTGGGAGGCCAAGACAGGCAGATCACCTGAGGTCAGGAGTTCAAGACCAGCCTGGCCAACATGGTGAAACCCCGTCTCTACTAAAAATACAAAAATTAGCTGGGCGTGGTGGCACATGCCTGTAATCCCAGCTACTGAGGAGGCTAAGGCTGGAGAATCACTTGAACCCAGGAGGCAGAGGTTGCAGTGAGCTGAGATTGCGCCACTGCACTCCAGCCTGGGCGACAGAGAAAGACTCTGTCTCAAAAAATAATACTAATAAATAAATGAAACAGTTGTGTGACCATCACCACAGTCCAATTGTAGAACATTTTCATCATCCTAAAAATGTCCCAAATGCCCACTCCTGCCCCCAGCCCTAGGGAAGCACTGATCTGCTTCTTTTTTTCTTTTTTTTTTTTTGAGTCAGAGTCTCGCTCTGCCGCCCAGGCTGGAGTGCAGTGGTGTGATCTTGGCTCACTGCAGCCTCCATCTACCAGGTTGAAGCAATTCTCCTGCCTCAGCCTCCTGTAGCTGGGACTATAGGCGCCCGCCACCACGCCCGGATAAGTTTTTGTATTTTTAGTAGAGATGGGGTTTCCCCGTGTTAGCCAGGATGGCCTCAATCTCCTGACCTTGTGATCCACTGGCCTCAGCTTCCCAAAGTGCTGGGATTACAGGCATGAACCCCCGTGCCCGGCCACTGACTTGCTTTTGTGTCTTCTTAGTTTTTGCCTTTTCCAGAAATTATACATAAGTGAATCACACAGTAGTATTTTGTGTCTCGCTTCTTTCACGTTTGAGATTCATCCATCTTGTACCACATGTTGGTCATTTGTTACTTTTCACTGCAGAGTAGTATTCCGTTCCTGGATGTGCTGCATTTTGCTTCTCTATTCCGCAGGCGGTGGATGTTCCGGTTGTGTCCAGCCTTGGGTTATCATGAATCAGGCTGCTCTGACGTTCACTTGCACATCTTTATGTACATGTGTGTTTGTATTTCTCTGCAACTCCATGTGAACTTAAGGTGTTACTATTGCTGTGACGTATTTGTAAAGCTGGAGAGGAGAATGAGAGCAAATTTTTTTAAGTTTGTTTGTTTATTTATTCATTTATTTGTAGAGACAGAGTCTCCCTCTGTCGCCCAAGCTGGAGTGCAATGGTACGAACATGGCTTGCTGCAGCCTCAACTTCTTGGGCTCAAGCAAACCTCCTGCCTCAGCCTCCTGAGTACTACAGGTGTGCACCACCATACATGGCTAATTAAAAAAAAAAAAAATGTTTGTAGAGAGGGGGGTCTTGCTATGTTGCCCAGGCTGGTCTCAAACTCTTGGTCTCAAGTGATCCTCCTGTCTTGGCCTCCCAGAGCGCTGGGAGGTGTGAGGCACTGCACCCAGTTTAAAGCAAATATTGAAACGGCAAGTTATTCCCAGCGCCTCCTGCCTGCCAGGCTTGGTGCTAGGCTCTGGAGGCGCACACCCTGACCAGTGAGAGCCCCGTCTCCCCAGGAGCCCCAGCCTCCCAGCAGGAAGATAGCCTCAGGCTTGACTGGCTGTTTGGAGTCCATCTCACCAGAAGAAACTCCATTTTTGGCATGAGGGGCATATTAGGGTCAAAGAAAAGCTTTACTGGCCTGCTTTAAAAAAAAAAAGTCTTTTTTTCTCTGAAGAATAAATTGTCTGCAACTGTGCATAAGCGATAAGCATTCGTCTATCACTTCCCTGCCCGCGGAAGGTCATTTCCTTTAGCTAAAATTTCAGAAACTGCGTAACCAGCAATATCTGATGGTGAGAGGGCACTGTTGGTCTGATTTCAGGTGACTCGTGGCTGTTGTTCCCCCTACTGGCCCCATAAGCCACTCCTTTGCACACAGCGCCTCCTAATGACGGCGTCTCACCTGGGGTGTCCTCCCCATACACGGGACCAAGGGACAGAGGCGGGCCTCGCCCCACTGACATGGATTCACGGCACACCAACAGCCATTTTTCCCTTCCAGAAGTCAAGCAATTTTACTTTATGTCCCTGAGACTTTTATTTTATTTTCTTTCTTTTATTTTAGAGACTGAGTCTCACTCTGTTACCCAGGCTGGAGTGCAATGGTGTGATCTCGGCTCACTGGAACCTCCACCTCCCAGGTTCAAGTGATTCTCCTGCCTCAGTCTCCCACGTAGCTGGGATTACAGGTGCACGCCATCACACCCGGCTAATTTTTGTATTTTTAGTAGAGACAGGGTTTCACCATGTTGGCCGGGCTGGTCTTGAACTCCTGACCTCAGGTGATCTGCCCACCTTGGCCTCCCAAAGTGCTGGGATTACAAGCGTGAGCCACCACGCCTGGCCCCTGAGACCTTATTTTTAAAACAGCCCTCCTCGGCTTCCTCTCTTTTGTGGGGGGAAAGGCATTCCCCGCAGAGGGAACCGCACAAGCGTGACTGTCACCTGCAGCAGGGCAGAGGTGTGAGCAGAGAGCAGGGGCTGGCCAGTAGGAGGAGCCTGGGAAGGCAGGTCAAAGCCAATCATGGGAAGCCGGAAGTGGAAGGACAGGGTTCAGGGAAGGATGGGCGCAGGTGTGCCTGCCCCTCTTGGGTATACCATGTGCTGTTTGTGGTGTATGTGTCTTACCCCGGGGTGGCTTCTAAAGTTAACATGCTAGCTACTTAGGAGGCTGGGGCAGGAGGATTGCTTGAGGCCAGGAAGTCAGGACCAGCTTGGGCAACATAGTGAGACCCCATCTCTACAAAAAATTCGAAGTTAGCTGGGTGTGGTAGGGTGTACCTGTGATCCTGGCTGCTTGGGAGGCTAAGGTAGGAGGATCGCTTGAGCCTGGGAGGTCAGTGCTGCAGTAAGCCGTGATCATGCCGCTGTACTCCAGCCTGGATGACAGAGTGAGACCCTGTCTCTAAAAATAAATAAATAAATAAATAAATACAAGTAGTAAAAAAGTTAACGTGAGCTGTTTTATAGTCAAAATTTCCCTTACAAGTCCGTTAAAGTGCCCTTGAGGGTACATGGTTTTGTGCATATTCACCCATACAGTAAATTGTATGTGTAAATGTTTAATGTATGGAGTAATGTACATTATAGAAAAGATTGTAAACATGTTATAACCTGTACATAACACAATTTTGTAGTACAACACTTTTAATTCGCTGTGAAATGGGTACAGACAGGCGACCTCGTGTGGGTCCCATGCCGTGCCCGTGTCCTCAGAGCTGGGCATCTGGAGGCTCCCCCACTGGCAGGTATGGGAGTTGCTGCCGAGCCAGGTCAGGACAGGCCGGTGGCGGAGATGTGGCTTGGACGGGAAATACGGAGTGAACCTCCGTGGCAAATCCAGCATTTCCACCGAGGAACGATTTGGTTCTCAGTGAGGGTCTGTCTAGAAGCCACCTTTGCTTGTACTTAGTGGATACTTTATTTGGGGTCGTTTGGCAGACGGATGGAGACCACTGTGGAGTCGAGGAGGTAAATCCCCTCCCAGCTATTTCTGGCACCAAGTGCGGCCGACCTGCACACACCTGTACGTGAAAAGGAACGTGGAGGGGATCCTCTCCGCCTCTTTCCACGGGCATCCTTTTTCTGAGTGAGAAGGGAGGGTTGCTGTTGCCTGTCTCTGGCAGGAGTTGTGGGATCCCTAGAAATCGTCTTGCTCCTGTATTAAGCTGCTTTTTTGAGACAGAGTTTCACTCTGTCGCCCAATCTGGAGTGCATCTTGGCGTGATCACGGCTCAATCTTGGCGTGATCTCGGCTCACTGCGACATCCGCTTCTCAGGTTCAAGTGATTCTCGTGCCTCAGTCTCCTGAGTAGCTGGGACTACTGGCGCATAACACCATACCTGGCTAATTTTTGTATTTTTTGGTAGAGATGGGGGTTTCACCATGTTGGCCTGGCTGGTCTCAAACTGCTGACCTCAAGCGACCTACCTGCCTCAGCCTCCCAAAGTGCAGGGATTACAGGTGTGAGGCACCGTGCCCGGCCTAAGCTGTTTTCTTTTCATTTTTGCTAGGCTGTTAGAGAAACGGCAGCATCCAGGGCAGTGCTGTTTGGGACCTCTGCTCTGATTCCTGAAATCTTCACCTACTTTTTTAAAAGGTAAGAGGCATGGTCCTATCCCCAGGTAGGGATCTGAAAGTCAAATCCTTATAAAAACCTGTCAGATACTGACCGTGGTAGACGGTGGAAGGAGTAACCTTCCCGTAAACACACATCACAGCTAAGACAGTCAGATTGTGGCAGGCATGGAAATCCAGGTGTGTGGATTCCACTGAATGGGGAATCCAGCCCAGGCTCTGCCTCCAGTTACCCCGCGTCCTTGACATGTCCAAGGACCTTCCACGGCCATTTCCTCACCTCTAGAATGAGGGGCTTGGGTGACGTGCACGTTCCCCTGGCTCTGATGTGCTGTGAATATTGCTCAAGCCTGCCCCTCTGCACCCCGATTCCAAGCATGTTTTAAATTAGCTTCAGCGACTCCGGATTCAGATTCATCCTTTTGAAGAAGCCAGAAATGGTCTATGAGGTGGAGGACCTGGGCATCCATCAGGGTTCTTGTGGCCCCCAGTATGAGAAGCCTAACCCGCAAGAGCTCAGGCTCGAGGGGAGATGTGGGGCTTTAGGGCCGGAACGGGCCAGGATTGCAGACCATGGCAGCTTGAACAGAAGCTCCCTTGCTGGGCGCGCCTCCCTGTCACCCTCGTGGGTGTTGGTTCCTTCTCTCCTGCCAGATTGGCTTCTTCATATTGATGAGGGACCCGTTTGCTAGTAACTCCCAGCTCATGGCCTCACAGCCTCCTGATCAGAGGTGGAATACAGCAAACCCCAGGGGAGGCAGGAGTGTCTTCCCCTCAGGGCAGACTCCTGGGGAAGGATTCTGTAGGCCTGAGTTGGGTTGTGTGCCTGAGCTGCAGTGTGGCGAGGCTGGGATTCGCCTGCTAGGACCACACACACAGCACATTTCCAAGAAGGAGGGATGGGATGGCGCGGTGGCTCACGCCTGTAATCCCAGCACTTTGGGAGGCTGAGGTGGGCAGATCACCTGAGGTCAGGAGTTTGAGACCAGCCTAGGCAACATGGTGAAACCACGTCTCTACTGAAAATACAAAAATTAGCCAGGCATGGTGGCGGGCGCCTATAATCCCAGCTACCCAGGAGACTGATGCAGGAGAATCGGTTGAACCCAGGAGGCAGAGGTTGCAGTGAACCAAGATCGCACCATTGTACTCCAGCCTGGGCGACAGAGGAAGACTCTTTCAAAAAAAAAAAAAAGAGAAAACAGGCCCTGATCCAGCTGTTCAGGTGCACTAAAAATAAAAATTAAAAAACAAAACAAAGCAAAAAAAAAAAACAGGCCCTGATTCAGCTGTTCAGAAAATAAACAAGCCCTGATAGTTTCACATCACTAGTGAGCCACGCCTTGTCTCTTACAGGACCCAGTTTTTCCTGAGAAACCCAGGGTCGTTGTGGATCCTGAAACTGTCTTGTACTTTCCTGACAATGGCACTGATGGTGCCAGTTTCTTTTAGTATATTTCCACAGATTGGACAGGTAAGTGCCCTCATTCCACTTTTCTCTCAAAGTTTTTTATTTTGCGGTTATAAAAGTAAAGTAAATAAGTTATTCTTATAAATCTGCAAAGTTTATAAAAATATAAAACAAGACCAGGTGCAGTGGCTCACACTTGTAATCCCAGCACTTTGGGAGGCCAAGGTGGGAAGATTGCTTGAGCCCAGGAGTTCAAGACCTGCCTAGGCAACATAGTAAGACCCTATCTTTACAAAAAATAATACACAAATTAGCTGAGTGTGGTGATGTACACCTGTTGTCCCAGCTGTTTAGGAGGCTGAGGTGGGAGGATCACCTGGGCCCAGGGTTGAGGCTGCAGTGAGCTGTGATTGCACCACTGTACTCCAGCCTGGGTGAGAGTGAGACCCTATTTCAAAAAAAATAATAATAAAATACAGTTGACTTTTGAACAACTTAGGGGTTAGTAGTCAAAAATCCAAGTATAACCTTTGACTCCCCGAAAACTTAACTATTAATAGCTTACTGTTGACCAGAAGGCTTACCAATAGCATAAAAAGTCAACACATATTTCATATTCTATATGTGTTATATAATGTATTCCTACAATAAACTAGAGAAAATAGAATGTTATTAAGAAAATCAGGCCGGGCACGGGTGGCTCACGCCTGTAATCCCAGCACTTTGGGAGGCCGAGGCAGGTGGATCATGAGGTCAGGAGATCGAGACCATCCTGGCTAACACGGCGAAACCCCCGTCTCAACTAAAAATACAAAAAAATTAGCTGAACACGGTGGCAGGCGCCTGTAGTGCTCACTTGGGAGGCTGAGGCAGGAGAATGGCTTGAACCTGGGAGGCGGAGCTTGCAGTGAGCCAAGATCGCACCACTGCACTCCAGCCTGGGCGACCAGAGTGAGACTCTGTCTAAAAAAAAAAAAAAAAAAAAAAAAATCAGGCCAGGTGCCGTGGCTCATGCCTGTAATCTTAGCACTTTGGGACGCTGAGGCGGGCAGATAACTTGAGATCAGGAGTTCAAGAGCAGCTTGGCCAACATGGTAAATAAAACTCCAGCTCTACTAAAAATACAAAAATTAGCCAGGTGTGGTGGTGCCTGTAATCCCAGCTACTCAGGAGGCTGAGGCAGGAGAATCGCTTGAACCTGGGGATGTGGAGGTTGCAATGAGCCAAGATCATGACATTGTACTCCAGCCTGGGCGACAGAGTGAGACTCTGTCTCAAAAAAAAAAAAAAAAAAAAATCGTAAGGAGGAAAAAATATATTTACTGTTTATTACATGAAGGTGAGTCATCAGTTTCAGTAAGGATCAAGGTCTTCATCCTCGTCATCTTCATGTCGAGCAGGCTGCGGAGGAGGAAGAGGGGTTGGTCTGGCTGTCTCACGGGTGACGTAGGGGGATGAAAATCAGTGTATAAGTGGACCTGTACCGTTCAAACCTGTATTATTCAAGGGTTAACTGTAATGATATTTATATTTAATTCTATCCCTCAATTCTCTTGGTGCAGTTTTGGGTTCTGTTTTTCTTAACACTATTTCATAAGCATTTTTTTCTGGGGCATAAAAAGAAATGTTTTAAAATTACTTAATTAAATAAATTTTAAATACTCCAAAATGTTCTCTAACTACGCCCTCTCCAATAGAACTTTCTGCAGTATGGAAATGTTCTATAATAGATTGGTGCTGTCCAGTATGGTAGCCAAGAGCTACATGTGCTTCTGAGCACTTCAGGAGAGGCTGGTGTGACTGGGGAACGGAATTGTAAATTAAGTTAAATTTTAAATTAGGTACTCTTGTGTGCTTAGTGGCTCTTGGACAGCCTAGTTCTGTAGATAATTTATAATCTAATTTATTATGAGTCAGACTGCCTGGACTCAGATTCCAGCTTCTCCACGACCTTGGTCAACTTGCTCCATTTTCTTATCTGTTAAAGAGAGCTGAAGATAATGGCATCTCTGCCAAGGGTTGTTGGTTAGTAGGTAGCAAGGACTTTTTTTTTTTTTTAAGTCAGAAAGCCAGTTTTTTAAATTTCCAAAGCTCTGCCATAAATTTCTAGCAGATGTCAAGGACATTATTGATGCTAGCAGATATCAGCAATTTCTTGGCTAAATATTTTAAGTGCTTGTTTCTGTCACTATAAATATATATGTCCTCAAAAGCGTTTATATTTATGGAATGATCTTGTTCAGAATCCACATTTTATAGGTTTAGGTTTTAGGATCATTCATTCAAGCAACTTTGCCAGCACAACATAGAAGTTTCAAATTATTTTAGATAGTTATGCTTATTACTATGCTATGGGCGAGGGGTTGGGGAGTGAGGCAGCATCTCAGAATAAAATTTCAGGCTAGGCATGGTGGCTCATGTCTGTAATCCCAACACTTTGGGAGACCAAGCTGGGAAGATTGCTTGAGGCCACGAGTTCCAGACCAGCCTGGGGAATGCAGTGAGACCCCGTTTCTACATAAAATGTTCTAAAAATTAGGTCGGGGGCTGTGGCTCATGCCTGTAATCCTAGCACTCTGGGAAGCCCAAGTGGGAGGATCACTTGAGCCCTGGAGTTCAAGATCAGCCAGGGCAACGTAGCAAGACCTCGTCTCTGCTGAAAATAAAAATTTGGCTGGGCACGGTGGGTCACACCTGTAATCCCAGAACTTTGGGAGGCCAAGGTGGGAGGATCACTTTAGCTCAGGGTTTGAAACCAGCCTGAACCTCATCTCTATTCTGAAAAAAATTAAAAAGAAAAAATAATAGTAATAATTAGCCAGGCATGGTGGTATGTGCCTGTAGTCCCAGCCACTCAGACAGCTGAGGTAGGAAGATCACCTGCTCTTTGGTCAAGGCTGCAATGGGGCCACAGAGTGAGACTCTGTCTCAAAAAAAAAAAAAAAAAAAAATTAGTGGGGTGAAGTGGCACACACCTGCAGTCCCAGCTACTCAGAAGGCTGTGGTGAGAGGATCACTTGAGCCCAGGAAGGAGAGGAAGAGTTTATCCCCGGTGGAGGATGGGAAGGGCTGAATGGGCACGTGAGGCTGCAAGGAACAGGCAGGATGCTGGGGGCCAGGTGGCAGGGCCTGCACAGCCAGGCCGAGGAGGTGGGCAGCAGGTGAGTCATTCAAGGTTGGAAGGGGCAGAACTCCCAGAGGCCAGAGTGGAGGCAGGAAAGGGAGTCAGTCACACACATGACCCCAGATGCCAAGACTTGCTTGCTGGACTTTGAAAATATCCTGTTGGGGTCGGGCGTGGTGGCTCATGCTTGTAATCCCAGCACTTTGGGAGGCCGAGGCGGGTGGATCACGAGGTCAGGATGTTGAGACCATCCTAGTTAACACGGTGAAACCCCGTCTCTATTAAAAATTCAAAATATTAGCCAGGTGTGGTGGCAGGCGCCTGTGGTCCCACCTACTTTGGAGGTTGAGACAGGAGAATGGCATGAACACCAGAGGTGGAGCTTGCAGTGAGCTGAGATTGTGCCACTGTACTCCAGCCTGGGCGACGGAGTGAGAATCCATCTCAAAAAAAATAAATAAATAAAATATCCTACTGGCTCAAGGCGGGCATGGAGGTGCTTAGATGAGATAAGGAGTTACTACTAATTTTGTTGCGTATGATAATGGCGTAGTGACATGACATGAGAATTGCCTTAAAATACTCAAGGGAAAAAACCCTACTGCTGGGTGTGGGAGGTGCTTGATGAAATGAGATCTGCAAATTGTTAATAGTTATTCCTGAGTGAGCACATGTGAGTTCATTACATTCTTTCCACATTTGTTTTTTGTTTGTTTGTATGTTTGAGACAGGGTTTCTCTCTGTTGCCCAGGCAGGAGGGCAGTGGTATAATCATGGCTTACTGCAGCCTTGACTCCCAGGCTCAAGTGATCCTCTGGCCTCAGCCTCCCAAGTAGCTGGGACTACAGGAACGTACCACCACACCTGGCTCATTTTTATTTTTTGTAGAGACAGGGTCCCACTGTATTGCCCAGGCTGATTGCAAACTCCCCACCTCAAGCAATCCTCCTGACCTTGGCTCACTGTAACCTCCACCTCCCAAGTTCAAGCGATTCTCATGCCTCAGCCACCGGAGTAGCTGGGATTACAGGCACCCACCACCACGCCCGGCTAATTTGTATATTTTTTGTAGAAACGGGGTTTCACCATGTTAGCCAGGCTGGTCTCAAGTGATCTACCCGCCTCAGCCTCCCAAAGTGTTGGGATTACAGGCATGAGCCATTGTGCCCAGCCATCTTAAAACTTTTTAATGGAAAGTTTCAATTATAAACAAATATAGAGATAAGTAAATAACAATAATAGGCCAGAGGTGGTGGTGTGCGCCTGTAATCCCAGCTACTCAGGTGGCTGAGCTACGAGAATCACTTGAACTTGGAGGGTAGAGGTTGCAGTGAGCTGAGATGGTGCCACTGCACTCCAGCCTGGGCAACAGAACAAGACTCTGTATCAAAAAAAAAAAAAAAAAAGTTTAAAAAGTTTCTTTACTACTTGGGTGATTTAAAAAAAAAAATAGGCTACATTTTCTGCTATAGATTAGACATTATTGAAAAAGATAGACTGTGAAATGGTGGCTTTCAGAAAATGATTTTTTTAACTTGGCTTCTAAGGCAAGAAAAACTATTAATAGAAATATTGTGAATTTAACTATTTTTCAGATACAGTGCCGTAGTCATGAAGAGAAAATTCAGCCTTCAACAGAAGAAACAGAAATCTTTTATCACAGAGGGGTGTAGGCATGAGTTTCAGGTGAATTTATGTGCTTCCCGCTTGAAAACCTTCACCTCTCCAGGTTCGGTTTAGAGAACTCTGCCAGAGGTCTTCTGGGGACCCCAGAGGTGTCTGTGCTGACAAGGTGACTTAAAGTTCCACACTGAGATCACTCCCAGGCTGGCATGTCTGGGGTTTTTAAGGCTGGCTGGAGAAGACAGTGGGAGGGTGCCCCGTCTGACATCCCTGGGGTTGCTAAGAAGATGGTTGGAGTGGGGATCGGCCTGCGAAAGGATACTATGAAATCACTAATTACCTAATAAACCTGTCTCAAGTTGAGTATTTGAAGAAAGAACACAAAGAGTCCACTGTGCCCAGGACACAGGCGTCCAATGGATAGGCCATCTCAAGTGGAACACATACCCCTGGGGTGCTGTTTATGGCCTCCAACCCCAAAAGTGATCTTGTTTCCTTACTCAGCGTCCTCCAATCTAGACAGCTGCTTAAAACCTTTGCTGCCCTCTGCCCAGTGCCTCCTTTCTCCTCTCTGGAGGCTGAGGCACGAGAATCACTTGAACCCTGGCGGCAGAGGTTGCAGTGAGTCGAGGTCGCGCCATTGCATTCCAGCCTGGGTGACAGAACTAGACTGTGTCTCAAAAAGAAAGAAACTGCTTGTCACCTGCCTCATTAGAGACTGGATCTTGCTGTCACCCAGGCTGGAGTACAGTGGCACAACCATAGCTCACTGCAGCCTTGAACTCCTGGGCTCAAGGGACCCACCTGCCTCAGCCTCCTGAGTGGCTGGGACTACAGGCGCCTGCCACCACGCCCGGCTGTAGCCATACCTTAAAAGAGTTGTCACCCTCACAGTCTCTGCCCCACCTCCAGTTCTACTAAGACTTCTCTCATCCATGACCCACCTGAATGTGGCACTGCCACACTGCTGGGCACTCAGGCTGGTCACTGAGCTGCTTACTTGGCTGCACTTTGCCATTTGGATGTCCCAGACACCTCAAACTCAACCCATCCAAACTTGAGAGCAGCTCTCCCTCCCAGTCTCAGGAATTGACACCACCACCTACCCAGGTGCACCAGACAGGATCACTGGAGATGCCCTCTCCCCACCTTAACTCCAGCGTATTCAGTAGACGGGGCCCAGTACATGGAGTCTGGAACCCATGTATGCCCGCTGCTACCGCCCAGCGCAGTCCAACAGCGTCCCCTGCTGGCACTGCCTGGCCCATCTCCTGCCTACTCCCTCCGGTCCACGTTCCAGCCTGCTCTTCTAAATCACACCTGCTGAACAGGTTTTTTGTTTTGAGATGGAGACTTGCTCTGTCACTCAGGCTGGAGTGTAGAGTGCAGTGGCACGATCTTGGCTCACTGCAACCTCCACCTCATGGGTTTCACACGCGTCTGTGTGAAAAGATCACCAAACAGGCTTTGTGTGAGCAATAAAGCTTTTTAATCACCTGGGTAAAGGTGGGCCGAAAAGAGTCGGCGAAGGGAGGTAGGGGTGGGGCCGTTTTATATTTCAGTAGGTAGTGGAAAATTAGTCAAAGGGGGTTGTTCTCTGGCTGGCAGGGGTGGGGGTCACAAGGTGCTCAGTGGGGGTGCTTTTGAGCCAGGATGAGCCAGGAGAAGGAATTTCACAAGGTAATGCCATCAGTTAAGGCAGGAACAGGCCATTATCACTTGTTTTGTGATTCTTCAGTTACTTCAGGCCATCTGGATGAATACATGCAGGCTTGGGCTCAGAGGCCTGACACTGGGTTCAAGTGATTCTTGTGCCTCAGCCTCCTGAGTAGCTGGGACTACAGGTGTGCACCAGCCACCACATTCAGCTAATTTTTGTTTGTTTTGTTTTTAGTAGAGATGGGGTTTCACCCTGTTGGCCAGGCTGTCATCTGTCCTCGTGATCTACCCGCTTTGGCCCCTCAAAGTGCTGGGATTACAGGCATGAGCACCGCACCCGGCCTGAAAAGCCTTAAATGGCCTCCCAGTGCGTCAAGATCAAGCCCACATTCCTCACCACAGCAAGCCTTTCCCGTACTCATATCCTGCCACTCCCTCCCCTCCCTCTAGACCCTCCAGGTCCTCACATGGGCTGTGGTCTCTTCTCCGGACCTTCACACAGCTGTTTCCTCTGGTCTGAGTAGATGTCTTCTTATGCTTCAGGTCTGACTTTGACATCGATCACTCCCTCTGAGAGGCCTTCCAGGATTGACAGCACTGAACTGGGTCCCCATCTGTGTGCTCCGATACCACTCTGTTTCACACATCACGCCTAGCACTAGCCGCACGACAGCAGCCTGTTTGCTGACCCTATTCCCCAAGCGGACTGTGCGCAGCACCGCGAGAGCAGGGACTGCTGCCCATAAGGGTAGGCCAAAATACAACACAGGCGTGGCCCAGAGTAGATACCTCAACATTTGAGTATTGGACTAACGTTTTCAATGCACCCTACCCCAAATTACCAAAGAATTATCTGTGGTTTTATTTCCCCAAGGCCAGAATAACGGTTAATTTCCAAATCTGGTGAGGAGAGTTTCACAACAGCCTAAAAGGACAAAATCAGTAAATGGCTCAGTCTGACCACAGGCTGACACTAACCAAAATTAAAGTTAGAGAACAAGATGGGCAACAGCTGCAGGTGGAGGTTTAACCACTACCAGATGACAGACATGTGAAGGCACCTTCCAAGGACAGGAGACTGAAGTTACAGAGGCAGCTCCAGGAAGGCGAGTGGAGGAGGGCTAGGGCGGGAGGAAAGGGTGTGTGGCGAGGGACGGCTTGAACTTTTTTTTTTTTGAGACCGAGTCTCATTTTGTTGCCCAGGCTGGAGTGCAATGGTGCAATCTCAGCTCACTGCAACCTCCGCCTCCCAGGTTCAGGCAATTCTCCTGCCTCAGCCTCCTGAGTAGCTGGGATTACAGGCACCCGCCACCACACCCAGCTAATTTTTGTACTTTTAGTAGAGACGGGGTTTCACCACGTTGGAAGGCTATTCTCAAACTCCTGATCTCAGGTGATCCGCCTACCTCGGCCTCCCAAAGTGCTGGGATTACAGGCATGAGCCACTGCGCCCTTGGCCATCTTGAACTTTCAGACAGGTCTTTTAATAATTCCCTAGTGCCCTCACAGTTTTTTTTCTCCGTTTTCTTTGGAATGAGCAGAATTAGAGAAAGAGGGGACAATTCGTCACCCACCTAAAAGTAGTTGAATATCAAAATATTTCCATTTTATTTCTGCATCATAAATTTATAATTTTAACAACTTTGATCATTAGCTAATATAGTAATACAAAAAAATGAGGAAAAAGATGTTAGTATTTTTCATTTCCATAAAGTGCAGATTTAATTTTCAATTATTTGCCTTAGTAAACATCGTCTTATTTCAGGTCCTCCCCTGCCCTCACTCAAAAAGGGAGGGTGTTTAATTTTTATTTAACAAATATGTAATACCAAGAAAAAAAATGAAAGATCCAATAATGTTTTTTGCAAACATGTTTCCAGGTAAGATTTCCAAGGACATCAGTACTGAGTGAAAGTAATCCCTTACAATCAACATGAATGACACACTAACAAGCACGTAATTGAGGCCTCCATGCTGATTTGGCAATGTTAAGGTCTCCAGTTGTGAAAAAGGTGCATAAATGAATACAAACAGTTGGCTTGACGTGTGGCCAAATTACTTTCACCAAAGTTGTTGGAAGCTTTTCTCTGGTTTTGGCCCCTGTAGGAAGTTAATCTCATATTCCCTTAGCAATAATATAAGGTCACTGTTTCAGTCCTACACACTGTTATATTCAATGGGCTTCTTAGTTTACCACATAAGGACTGGCACCTTTTTCAAAAGAATATTGCTAACAGGGTTAAATGAGTGCTAATGGCTGAACGTTTGCCAAATGCTTACATCTGCGATAGTATAAATATGGATTATTAAAGTTGTCTACTCAAGTATAAAATATATGCAAAACTCTCATAGGCAAAATATTCAAAAGCCAGGAAAAACCTTTTTTGTTTGTTTTTTTAACTTTTACAAGAAAGTGCAACTGCAGGCTCTCTGGAATGATCTTCTAGACAGTTCCGCAGAAAACTTAGCAGTTGGGCTCAGAAAGTAGAGTTCCTCAGGAGGAATTAAAGTTCTTCCTAGAATACAAAGCAACATTTCGGGCAGCTTTCTGAAAGTAAACCATTCGCTTATGACTACACAGTGAGAAACTGGAATGTGTAATAATGAAGGCTTTCGCATTTGTCATGATGCGCTTTTTTTCTCTTACCGCAGGACCTCTAGCTGTTTTGTAATGTTATATAAAGTAGTAACAGCACTTTGTCCAGCACTGACAGCAGGCAGGAAACTAATCAGCTAGGAGAAAATCAGAAATATGTTCATGTGTTTCATTGTTTTTCAGGTCAAATCTCAATACCTGCAAATAAATCATTAAAAATATATAACAGTTTCTCTGTTATTTTCAGGACTTTATGTAGTTAATGGATAATCAGAGTGAAAGAGGGCTTTCTCTCAGTCATCAGTGATACATTCTGTCACACAGTCAGATTTTCAGCATTTGTTCGGCTGCTGCTAGATGATAAAGGAAGTTTTCTGTTGCTGGTGGAAATCGTTTTTGCTTTAGTGCCTCCAAATTAAGGACTCTCTTTTCTCCATCAGCCGAAACTTCTGAAAACGGTGCTAGGTTGGTAAAGATTTCTCTTGTTTTTAGAGCAATATCCTTTAATAGAACAGGAAAATATGCAACATGTTAGTATCCGAAATTTGAATATTTACTCTGTAGAATTCTTCCTGCTATTTTTCTCAGACTGTTTATAAACTATGAAAAATGAGTTCAGCATGGTGGCTCATGCCTGTAATTCCAGCACTTTGGGAGACCGTGGCAGGAGGATGGCTTGAGCCAGAAGTTAGAGGCTGCAGTGAGCCATGATTGCACCACTGCACTCCAGCCTGGGCAACCCCGTCTCAAAAATGAACAACAAAAAAGGTAACTCCTTTTTTTGTTGTTTTTGAGACAGGGTCTCGCTCTGTTACTCAGGTTGGAGTGCAGTGGTGCAATCATGGCTCACTGCAGCCTCGACTTCCCAGGCTCAAGTGATCTACCCATCTCAGCCTCCTGAGTAGCTGGGACTACAGGCTTGCGCCACCACACCCAGCTAATTTTTTAATACTTTTTGTAGGGATGGGGTTTCACCATGTTGCCCAGGCTGGTCTCAAACCCCTGGGCTCAAGCGATCTGCCCACCGCAGCTTCCCAAACTGCTGGGATTATAGATCTGAGCCATTGCACCTGGCCTGATAATTCTTTTTAAAGAAAAAAATTAGGAAAAATGAAACTTAGAAA